AGGGCCCCAAAGAGACCTGAGCTTCGTGTTCCTTTCTTTTCCTTTCTCTCTCTGACTCCCTCCCTCCCCCCTTTTCTTTCTCCTTCCTTCCTTCCTTCCTTCCTTCCTTCCTTCCTTCCTTCCTTCCTTCCCTCCTTCCTTCCTTCTCTCTCTTCCTCTCTCTCACCCCTTCAGGATACAGCTCACTTAGCCCTTGTCTCTCCATAGGCAACTCTGGGTCACAGAGACTGAGCGGTACTCAGAATAGTCCACCTAATGACCTAAGCTTTTCTACTTACTCTTCTTACCCCTGGGCTGGGTGAAAGTTTGGGTATAAGAGAGATCTTGAATGAGTACAACCTCTGCCACTCACTAGCTAAGAGAGTTTAGGCAGATTAACCTCTCAAAGCCCTGGATTCTTCATCTGTAAAATGGGGATTATAATAGTGGCCACTTCATAGGGCTCATATGGAGATTAAATGAGTGCATAGTCCCTGGCCCATGAAATTCTGAATATTAAATCAGTGCTAGTGTTCATTATTATAAGCATGTAGACTTGCAAATAGATAAAATTGTTAGCAGTGGTTATTTCTAGTAGCAGGGTCAGAGATGAGTTTTAATTTCTTCTTTGTTTTCCATATTCTCTTCAAAAAGCATTTTTAAATTCTGTTTTGTTTTGTGGTACTAGAGATCAGCATATGGTAAGTACTCTCTATACTTCTGAGCTACACCCTCAGCTCTTAAATGTTGTTTTTATATTCATAAAAAGGTAATTAGAATGTAGCAGATTGTCAATCTCAGTTCTTTTTTTTGGTACCGGGGATCGAACTAAGCACCTTGCACTTGCAAGGCAGGCACTGAAACCACTGAGCTAAACCCCTGGCCCATTAATCTCAGTTCTTGACATTTTCCCTGAAACCTTCAAACACTTTTCCCATTGCTCAATGAGCTCCAGAGGCTGTGCCTATGTCCTATCTATTTTGGGATATTTAACATTAAACACATTATTTGACACACAGTAGGTAGTCAATACTCATTTTCTGCACAAATTCTCAAAGGCAGTTCCTTCAGGTTTTGGTTTCTCCTTGTAACTAAACATCCTTTTTTTTCTGTCAAGAATTCTCTTTCCTCACATAGGTCTAGTTTCTAATCCCTTTACCAAATTAATTAAATCCTCTCCAAGTTCTCCACAGCTAAAATTCCTTGGAGATGCCTGAGCTGGCATTAGGCAGGTTTCCACAAAGCTTTTCACTGGAGCACCCAGAACAGGAATGGGATCCTTGATTTGAGATCAGAACTTTTCAGAAGGCAAATGAAAACCCAAGGGCCAGGATAACCTGGATGATACAAAGAGATTATAAAAGGAAATAGACATTTCTAGAGAGACATTATATTTCAAATTAAAATGCATGTGCAGAGGGTGACTGTTTTTCCCTATTGGTAAAGAATGCAGGGTTACTGATGATCACCCTTGCAGTTGGTTTTTTGATCTTCACTTTGAGCCAGTGAAACTGTCCAGGGATTCTCTAGAGAGGATGGGCCCAGAGCAATACTGCCTGATGTTTCTTCTACAAAAGCAAGACCAGAATAGATGATATTAGCAGCTGTATTAGTCATCTTTCCTTGCTGGGACAAAATACCTGACATATGTAATGTAAGGGAGAAAAGGTTTCTTTTGGTTCAGTTTCAGGGACTTTAGGCCATGGTTGGCTGGCTCCAAGGCAGGAACATTGTGAAGGAAGAGTGTGGCAGAGGAGAGCTGCTCAATTTATGGGAAGCAAAACACAGGGGAGGAGCCAGAGACAAAGGGCCCAGGGACCAGATATAGTCCCCAAGGTCACACCTTCATGAACCACTGAAAAATACCCAAAAGTGTGCTCTCGTAATCTGCTAGGTATCTCTCAAGCCAATTAAGTCCACAATCAAGATTAAGCATCACAGCAACTGATACAGTTTAGTTCTTTCCTTGGATTATTTTTATGTATTGTTTTTGGTGCTGAGAATCAAACCCAGTGTTTTATATATGTGAGGCAAGTGCTTTAGACTGAGCTAAACCTCTGGGCCTTTCCTTATCTTATTAATAAACTTCAGCCTCTCTCAATCCAGGGAGTTTGAAATCTGAATGAGAGTCCAAGATGATTGTGCCTGAGCCACTTGATGTAGAGTCCCTGAGAAACAGAATTCTCCAAGGTGGCCCCATCTACATAGAATCTAGATATTCAGCTCCTTTTTGAACCCCCCCCCCTTTTTTTTACCTTCCTGTGATATACATTACATTCTTTTTTGTTTAAAACATCCAACCATTTAGTCTCCTAACTGAGTCTTCAATGTTTCCAAGCCAATCTTGGATGCAGAGTCTGGGGGTGGGGATGACATGGGGTGGCTCCAGGATGGCTGGTTGCTTCAAGGCCACGTGGGAGGTGCAAGAAGACAGGAAAGCAGGAGATATGCATGCGCTGGTCAGGGCTGATTTCAATGGACACGGTGCCAGAGCAAGACCTGTTCCCTTCATCCCCTGCTCCTGAGCCCCTGAGCTCTGGCAAGAGTGAGGGGAAGGTCCTGTGCTCCCGGCCATGTAGCAGTGCTGGAGCATCCCACCCAGGCACCCAGTCCCTAAATAGAGTTATCTGCTGCTGCTGGCAGCTCCTCATTCCAATGGAGCAAACCTGGAAAGGCACATGCTCTACCCACTGAGCTCCAAGCACTCCTCCTCACTCAGGCCACAGATGAAGGATAAAAAGCAAATTGTGCAGATTTTTTTCATGTGTTCCTCTGGATGCCCAGGTCGTTTTGGGTTTTATCATACACAGCAATCAAGGCTGCAGAGACTCAGTGACACTGCCACATAACTTAGTGTATTAGCCAGCATTCTCTAGGGAAACAGAATAAATGAGTTAGAATATCCTCCTGCCTTTATCTCTGAGCTCTTTTTCTGGGATTGAGGTTCTGACTGCTTCTTGACAGGGCCATTTCTCACAATTGTGTTTGCAAAGGACAACCCTGCTGAAGCAACAACCTCCTGCCTCAGAGACAGAGCAGGCTTGCTCACTGCTTACTATTAAATGGCACACACCCAAGCTCAGTGCTCCTTAGCTGCCACATAAACACACTGAGGGCAATATGTGAAGAGCAGCAGAGATGGAAATGAAAAAATGGAGAGAGTATCATGCCACATGAGTGTAGTGAAGGGAAGGCATAATTGAGAAGAGAGAGAGCAGCCAGAATGCAGAAGAAACCTCAGGAGACGGTGGCTTCCTAATACCATGATGTTCAAAGAAGACTTCTTAAAAGAAGGGAGGGAGTAGCAGCATCACCAGAGGCCTAGCACGACTTGGCCCCCAGTGCCTCTCAAAGCCTGTGGGTCTCCTGTACCTGGAGACCTGATGCTGTGGGCCATTGCCTAGAAGTGCCATGCTTTCAGAATCTCCATTTTCTCAGATCTTCCCTAGCACATCCCCTTGGCCAGCTCTGATTGATTCTCCAAAATTCAGCTCATGCTCAGCTCTTCAGAGAGGGCCAAGTGGCCAGATCCTCACACTCAAAGAGGAGGAGCTGCTCCCCAGCACTCTGTGTGCACTTTCATTTGATCGCTTATTGCAGTTTGCTGGGCACATCTGTCTACTTCTCCAGCCTGTGAACGCCTTAAAAATAGGGGCTTGAGCTTCTGCCTCTTTGTATTCCAAGTGCTTGGCTTAAGGCCTAGTCTTGAAAGGAACTCAGTGCACACTGATGCATCAGTACCTGGAGGGAGGCGCTCGCTACCCTGATCCACCTCATAGAGAAGAACAGGCTCTGGTTGCCATGATGCTGCGAGCACTACTATACCTGCTGCCTTTAGGATGAGCAAATGATATTCAGTTGATTGCATGTTGGCATCTGTCCAGCAGCATCTGCCAAGCCCAGCAAAATGGATGCCAGGCTAACTCTGAGACAGCAGAGATGCTTTTCCAGCTAGTGGACCTGTCCACCCTTTCTCTTAGGCAGATAAAATGTGGAGTAACATTAAATAATTTCTTTTTTCCTGTCCCTGGAAGACTTGAAGGACTTTTCTTTTGTCACTATCCTCAACTCAGATGTCAGTTTTTTCTCCCTCCATGCACTGCTTTTTCCACCTCCTTGTCTGCTGCTACCATAAGACAGAGGTTTGCAAACCAGAGCTAACAAGACAAATCTGGCACAGTGTTTTTTGTAAATAAAGTTTTATTGGAACACTGTCATACTATGTTAGTCAGCTTTCTATTACTGTGACAAAATACCAAAGATGATCAATTTAAAAGAGGAAAGGTTGGGCCAGGGATTTAGCTCAGTGGTTCCACTGCCTGTCTCGCAAGCGCAAGGTCCCAAGTTTGATCCCTGGTACCAAAAAAATAAAATAAATAAAATAAAAGAGGAAAGGTTTATTTTGGCTCATGGTTTCTAAGGTTTCAGTCCATGATCACATGGCCCCATAGCACTGAGCTTGTAGTAAGGCAGAGGATCATGCAGGAGGCTCTTTACCTTATGACAGATTGGAAGCAAAGAGAGAGAATGGAGTGGAGTCCCAACACTGGGATTTGAACCCAGTGAGTGCTGAACCACTTTTATTTTGAGACAGAGTCTTGCTTAGTTTTTCAGCCTGATCTCAACTCTCAGTTGAGATCCTCCTACCTCAACCTTCAAGTAGCTGGAATTACAGGTATGTGTCACCAAACTCAGTTTATGTGTTGTTGTGTGCTCTTTTTTTTTTTTGGTACCAGGGATTGAACTCGGGTCCTTGCGCTTGCACAGCAGGCGGCGAAACCACTGAGCTAAATCCCCTGCCCTATGTGTTGTTTTCTAATGAGCAAAATAAAAAAGCAAAAAGCAGGCCGGGGATTTAGCTTAGTGGTTCCACCGCCTGCCTCACAAGCGCAAGGACCTGAGTTCCATCCCCATAACAACAACAACAAAAAGCAAAAAGCAAACAATATGGGGCTGGAGATTTAGCTCAGTGGCACGAAGCCAAAAGCTCAAGGTCCTGAGTTCGATCCCCAGTACTGCCAAAAAAAAAAAGAAGCAAACAATATGATTTCCTTATTGGAAAAATGGGTCCACAAATTTTACATTTCAATTCCATTTGTTCCAATCATACCACTGATTTGAATTCATCCTAAGAACATGATTCTAAAAACACAAAAATATTTGTACACACAAACATTGATTCAGATCCCCCCTGCTCTGCACCAGAACAGCTAGGGATGGACTCATTCTCAAAGGACAGCGCACAGGGGCCAGTGTCCTGGACATTAGAGGGTTACTGCTCAGCAGTGCAGTGAGAAGGTCAGCTATCAACAGCAGGCCAGCAAGGCCCTGTTGCATATACCAAGGACTGATGGGTGCTTACTGGAAACACTTTGTAAGACTGAACAACAGTTACTCCATCTTTGTAATAGGGCCCCAACTTTCTGCTTCCGTTACGGATCACCAGGTAGACATCAAGTTCCAGAGATGTGTTTGTTGTTGTGCCAGGAAGGTCTGTTGTGGGCATAGTGTTCTGTCTTCTTGCTCACTTCCCCTGCGGTCTGTTTTTATCTCTCTCCTCCGCTTTTGTATTTCTGCTTGCCAACTTCCCCTGCGACCCCCTATAAAAACAGCTTTGGACTCTGAGCCAGTTGCCTCTCTAAGCTACTTTGCTTTGGGAGTGCCATCTGGCCAGACTAATAAAGGTCTGTTTTACTTTCCAACTTGTCCGGTGTGTTCCTTCCTGGGTGTTCTTCGCTGCAGTCAGCTCCTTGGAGCATTTGGTAAGGCCCTCGGTCTTACGTTCTGGAGGGCCCAGCGAGATACCTGGGTAGGAACCCCTGGTTCAGCTGAGACTCCGTGGCGGGATCCAGCAGGAGACTCTCAGGCACAGACCTCAGAAAACCTCCAGAGGTAAGCTTTTGGCCGGTTGCAACTGTTTGTTAAGTCAGGAGTGAGGTGGCTGACGAGCCGGGAAGCCTCCCCTGACCCCAAGTTTCCTGACGAGGAACAAGGGAAGGTTTAATTTCAGTTTGTCGTGGCGCCCGTTTGTCTTGTCTTTTGTATATTAATGTTGTGTCTGTTGTGTGTTTGATTTTACATTTTTTTCTTTCCAATCTTCATCAGGAGCAGAGTAATTGGAGGAACCTGTTCTACCGGGTCCACTCCGCTTGACTGCTTTCTCACTAATTTTAAATTGGCTTTTTCTCCAGAACAAGAAGATGAATATGGGGTGAAATTTTCTTGCGGAAAACTCCACTCCCTGTGCCAACTGGAATGGCCAGCCTTCGTGGTGGGATGGCCAGCCGAAGGGACTTTTGAGCCCAGTGTTTGCTGGGTGGTTTGGGGCAAGGTCACTGGTCACCCTGGCCACCCAGACCAATTTCCCTACATAGACATCTGGGTTCAGGCTTGTGAGAAACCTCGGGCTTGGCTGCAGCACTGTTCCCTCCGAACAGACACTTGCATTTTAGTCGCTGCCCCAAAAGAGCCCCGGGAACTTAAGCCCCGGGCTCCTAAGCTGGTTCTCTCACAGGAGCCTGACCCCCTGGATCCCTTAGAAGAGGCCCCACCCTATGTGGAATCCTCCACCCCCTCAGATGGCTCCCGCTCTAGACCCCACAATCCTTCCCTTCCTCCGTCTGTTCAACCTTCAGCTCCTACTCCTCTCTATCCTCCTCTCCCTGAGGGGCCTCAGTCCCGGACTCTGTGACTTCTCCCCCACACACATGAGCTGGGGCTGCGTCTGGGCCTTGCGAGGTCCCCACCAGGGAAATTAGTTCGGCCCCTCTCTTGCCCCTTCGGGAGACAGAACAAGGTCACTATGTTTATATCCCTTTCACTACTAGTGACTTATATAATTGGAAACATCAAAATCCTCCCTTCTCAGAGAGGCCCCAAGCCCTAATATCTCTTCTAGAGTCTATCTTCCATACCCATGATCCTACTTGGGATGATTGCCAACAACTCCAGGCCCTTTTTACCTCAGAGGAGAGGGAAAGGATCCGGAGCCAAGCTGTAAGGTCAGTACTAGGCAGAGCAGAGGGCCCCCACACTGGTGCTGCCAGAGAAACCAGAGTACACAGATGAAGAAACGGTGGAAATGACCAAAAAGTGGTGGACCCAAGGTAAACATGGATGGTGGACGACCGAGGATGGAAAAGTGGTGCTCCCAGCCACTGTAGCAGACACACTGCTACAAGAACTGTATGGGTCTACCCACATTGGTGAGAAAAGAATGATGGCCACTCTGCAACCCCATTTCATCAACAAGGGAATGGCACAAAAGGCCAAAGACCTAGTGAGACGATGCCCCACCTGTATCAAGGTAAATGCAAACCAGATGACCGGACCCCCAGGGGTCCGATATAGAGGATTAACTCCAGGAGAACATTGGGAATTGGATTTTACTAAAATAAAACCCAGCACGTATGGGTACAAGTACTTATTAGTCTTTGTAGATACTTTTTCAGGATGGATAGAACCCTTTCCTACTAAGAGAGAGACAGCTGAGGTAACCGTCAAAAGGCTCTTGACAGAAATAATTCCTTGTTTTGGCTTGCCCTTACCTCTGGGGTCCGACAATGGCCCAGCCTTTACGGCTAAATTATCTCGATTCATCAGTAAAGCTTTAGAGATAAAATGGAATTTGCATTGTGCTTATAGGCCTCAGAGTTCAGGACAAGTAGAAAGAGCAAATCGAACCTTAAAAGAGGTTCTAACTAAATTATGCCTGGAGACTGAACAAGGTTGGGTAGAATTTCTCCCTTTTGCCCTCCTTCATACCCAGTGTACCCCTAAGCTGCCCCTAAATCTGTCACCCTTCCAGATCATTTATGGGCAATCTCCCCCAATTGTCCCTTTGGTTGATTTGGAGTTAAAGACTTTCCCACCTCCAGCTCCTTAAGTCCCTAAAAACAGTCCATCAGCTTCAATCAGAGCTACATGATAAGCTGAGAAAAACTATGCCTGGTCCCAGTGAAAAACCTTTGCAACCCTTACCCTATAAGCCGGGGGATTTGGTTTTCATTCACAGGTTTGACTCCAAGACCCTTGAACCCCGCTGGAAGGGACCATTTCCTGTTGTCCTGGTGACTCCTTCAGCAATAAAGGTAGCTGGACACTCTGCCTGGATCCATCACAGCCATTTAAAGGCAGCACCCCCCAGAGGAAGCGACGTCAACATGGCGGATCGATCGGAACACAAAGGACCCCCTCAAGATAAGATTGATCAAAGACTAGTTTGGACAATATGGGGGTTCTTGGGGCTACTGTTCTTACCAGCCCCAATGGAAGGGGGAGCTGGATGCCAGCTGGTGTTGTCCAGCCACACTCCCCAGAGCTGGACTTTGTCCTTGAAAAATGCCTTAACGGGAGCTCACATTGCCACCATTACCACTGATAGACAATCCTATTTTATTATAGATCTGTGTTCTCTGGGGCTTCCAATCATTAGTGGTGGAGGGGCTGGATCAAAGGGTAAAGTTTCATCTGGAAAGATGGGTAAAGGGGGCCGCGGAGGGAGGTGTGGAATAGATGATAAGTTGGAAAAAACCCTCCAAGATATAGATATTTATGCCTGCTCCATAGGGAAAAATAAAAGGTGCAATGGGGGACCAGGAAACCACTGTCATCATTGGAGTTGTGAATCTATTGCCCTGTGGAAAAATGATGATGCATATTTGGCCTTGGAATGACAAACACCAAGTGGTTCATGTTCCAAAGGAAAATGTAATCCCATCAAGCTAACCTTAAAACAATGGCAAAATCCATATAAAGATTGGGAAAAAGGAAAATCCTGGACAGTGGCACTCTATGTGGGTGGAAAGGACCCTATGACTGACCTCCTCAACCAGCGTAGCCCAGTAATAGTACTGCCTAAACCGGTAGGCAACATTTATAGGGTCTCCTGCCCGCCCCCCCAAAAAAGACAAAAGAAACCTATAATGTGTCATTAGTTGCTCCTGAATCTCCAATCCAACCATACCTAAAAACCCTAGATGCCATGTACACTCTGTTAAATGAGTCTAGCTCCAATCTTACTCAAGGGTGTTGGCTGTGTTTGAGTCCATGTCCCCCATATTATGTAGGGTTGACAGTAAACGGCACCTCCTCAAAAGCTGACCAGAATGTGTGTGATTGGAAACAACTGAGGTTGTCAGTTGGGGATATAAAAGAAAAAGCATTATGTGTTAAAAATCCAAGTGTTACATCATCTTATCTGGACAGTATATGTTCTTATCAGACACCCGCCATCAGTAATGAAAAATATGTAAAAGCTGAAAACAATACATGGTGGGCATGTACAAATGGTATAACTCCCTGTTTATCCATGACAGTCCTCAATCAGGAACTTGAGGTATGTGTAATGGTCCACATTTTACCCCAAGTCACTATATATGAAAAAGACCAGAGTTGGGAATACCTAGCTAAGAGAACACACACCCAAGAGAAACGCCACCCAGCAATGATTCCTGTGTTAACTGCAACAGACATTGCGGGATCAGCAGCTCTGGGTGTGACCGCAGTAGGACTGCAAGACTCTAATTTCAAGACCCTTGCCCAACAGGTAACAATAGACTTAGGCCTACTTACTGAGTCAGTGTCTCATTTGGAAAAACAAGTTGATTCTCTGGCTGAGATGGTCCTTCAAAACCGCCAAGGACTTGACCTCAGATTTATGAAAGAGGGAGGGCTATGTGCAGC